TTTTAGCTGTGGAGGACTAGCGCACTGGGCTGTCATTTAAAGTTTTGACTCACCTGTGCAGTCTTGTCCTCCACAGCCGTAACAAACTTGGGACTTTGAGATAGAATTCTATCAACAACGTGCAATTTCACCTATAGCATAAAGGGAAAATCAAGCATACTCAGCCTTAACAGGTGTTATGGTTTTCGTCCCATCACAGCCCTGTTGCAGTTGTTTTGTACATTGATTCTGCTTGTGGTTTTCTTTTTGCCCACTCATTTTTGCTGGATTTGACAAGTATGTAATTGGTTCATAAGTATTCCCACTGATCATCAGCAAGCTCATCAACATATTTCATGGATGTAGCTACCAAATCACTAGGCTGACTTATTAAGCTTTTCTGGCCTTGGCAGTTCCAAAGTTTATCCATCTCATAAGTCTTTGCTATAGTGTGAAATTTCAGCCAGATTAACATAGTTCTCTGTCATCCAGTGAAATTTTATGGCAGCCAGTCCTTATCTACTCCCTGAAATCTGAAGTCTGTCGCAGTGGCTGTTGAATTTGCAAAGTTTATCCAACTCATAAGTCTTTGCTATAGTGTGAAATTTCAGCCAGATTAACATAGTTCTCTGTTATCCAGTGAAATTATATGGCAGCCAGCCCTTATCTACTCCTGAAATTTGAAGTCTGTCACGGTGGCTGTTGAATTTGCGCCCTTCCCCTCACTACCCCCCTGCCACACAACCCAGATTTCTTTTTTAATGGTCAATAAAACCAATACATAAGCCATTAAAAATGGATCAAGATAGCATACAAATTGTGTTACGTTTACCAATAATCACTGGTACCATTAACCAAAGCACATCTTTCCCTCTTGTACACCTGCGACAGAATGCTGTCCCAGTTAAGTGACCATGGCATCTCATTAGTCAAGGATGTTCCAACTGATGAGGATCACTGTGCCAAGGTTTGTCAGGTTAACAAATACATTCCATATAGTGGTGTGCTTGTACAGTCTCAGTGGTGTGCTTGTACAGATCACAGATGATGTCAAAATGTGTGAAAAACATAAAAGTGGCACACAAGCCATGAGGTGTGTGTGTCACTAATGTTCTTAAACTGCACCACCCCTATGAAAATTTCAATTAAGCTTCATTCATTTCTTTAAATTCTTTGGTCTTATAGAACCTCCCACCCCCCTCCCACAGGAAATTCTAATCCCTTCTGTGGGGGAGGTCTGGATGTTTTCTGGAACAGCACAATATGTTAAGAGTTTATTAATAAAATATATTGCTTGCCAAAGGTGGTAGGTTAGTTTCAGATGTCCTGACAAACAACATTGTACATTGTATACTAACTAATAGTTTAGACTACTCAGCGATAAAGTAACTTAGGAAAGGTCAGGCAAGTTTCCAGTCATGCCAACAAACTTTATCCCTTTGTTTTTAGGTTGCGAGGCTATTTGGACCTCTACTGGAAACCATTTATGGCAGAGTATGTATTTTCTCTTTGGTATTGCAAAGGACTCTGGAGAACGGTTCTTTTCATTAGTTCTTTCATATTGCCCTCAAGTGGTTAATTTTGTTATTTTCCTTTGTGTCAATTACATGTATATACATATATATAAGGTGTTTTGTCTTCTTGCAGTCTTTTGAGGTCAAGAGTGTCCCTAACCCTATCAATATTGCATACTCTAATGTGGCTCTTGGCCTTCACATGGATCTTATGTACTACGAGTCTCCCCCTGGGCTGCAGCTACTTCATTGCATAAGGTAAGGTGCAATGTAACTAATTGAAAGGCTCATCTATAAAGCGAATTTTTCTAAAAGAAACAGACAACATGTTCTTGGTGTCTCTATTACGTTTTAGTAGAATTGTACTAGTATACTTGTCTAATGCATATGCAACAATCTGATTGGCTGAACTACTCGTATACTCTCAGCCATTAGTGCGCAGTAGCTGGAGGTCATAGGCGAAATAGTGACGTTTCCGCGAAGTAAGGAAAAACGTTTTATACACAAATCAGTCTGCGCAATTTTTCAAAAGCATCAAGTTAACTACAATGTACTAGAACGATTGAAAATGGTTAGCTGAAGAAAATTTCAGTAAGAATTCTACTCAAACAATCAGATTATTCGCTCTCGATTTCTATGAGGTGATAGCTGATTCGGCCTTTGGCCTTATCAACTATCACCTCATGGAAATCTCGAACTCATAATCAAATTGTTAAATAGAAACACTCTTCCCCCTGCTTGTACCTGCAGTTGAAACATTTGAGGGGTTACAACCTTGAATGATACACCTTCAAATGATATTTAATTGATGCAAAAAGAAACGGAGTAGTGGTCAGTTAAATAAAAGGTAAACTGCCCTCAATTTTCTGATTTTCGTGGGAAAAGTTAATGGTGACGACGTTTTACTTGGCGAATTCATCCTGGGAATGACATCAGAAAGCTTCGAACATCTTCGAATTTAGGCGCATGTTTAAAAATCCTGGCATACCCCGGTTAAAATCGTTTTGAGTTTATATTATTATCATTTTCTTTTTTTGTGTGTGCAGGTACGATCCTGAGGTCGAAGGAGGAGAGAGCTTGTTTTTAGATTCTTTCCATGTTGCTGAGGAATTCAGAAAGCAGTTTCCTGAACAGTTTGAAAATCTTGTGCGAATACCAGGAACATTTCAAAAAATACACTTTGAAAGGTACACGCTTGTTTGCTTCTCTCTGATTTAAGATCCCATTTTCTGGGGTTGGCTGTATAATGTAATTTAATGTTCAGTGGCCCGAACCTGTTTTGTTGCACGTTGGTTCCATTGTCGAGCCACAGTTTTTGGGAGGAAATACTTGCCATGGCCGATTTCTCGTATGTTTTATTTGTTTCATTTTTTTCTCTAGGGATTATCCAGTCAAACTAGTGTACAAGAGGCCACACATTGTTCTTAACCCTGACAAAGAGGTGCGGTAGAATATATTTCTTTAGCTGCAGCCTAGCGAGCATTTTCATCTTAACCATGTCTTCACTGAGCTTAAAATTTAAAACCTCTTGCCCTCTTTCTTTCTTTTTCTCTACACTGAATGTTGTCGACGTTGATCCTGGCAGAATGAAGGACGTGTGTCACGTACA